CCATCACAGGGACACCTGGACATGTCTCCAGTCCATCACAGGGACACAGAGACAAACAACCATCCATCCATCCATCCATTATCTTTACCCGCTTATTCCATTTTGGGTCACGGGGGTCGCTGGTGCCCATGTCCAGCAATCACTGTGCGAGGGGCGGGGTACACCCTGGACGGGTCGCAAGTCCATCACAGGGACACATAGAGACAAACGAGACAAACAACCATTCACTCTCTCACTCACACCTAGGGACAATTTAGAGTTACCAATCAGCCTAACATGCATGTTTTTGGTCTGGAGGACCAGGGGAACAACCCACATGTGCACGAAGGGAACATGTAACCTTCATCCAGAAAGGCCCCAAGCCAGGAGGCGATCCTGCGACCTTTTCGCTGCACCACTGTGCCAAATTCAACAACACACAGTCCTCCCTTACAGACACACACCATAGACCAGTGGGACTCATTTTGTCACATCAACTATTTAAAGAATAATCATCTAAGTTGTAACGAGCTCCTGCGTGTCTGTGTTTACAGTAATTATGTTATTAAACACGTGAAAAGTTAGAAATGCCTCCCACACAAGTGCACCGCCGGCAGAGCCCCCCCCCACCACCACCACCACCACCACCACCACCAGTTCACCTCATTCAACAACACATCAGGCGTGTCGAAGCATCCAAAACGTAGGACAGCAGTTCCACAGGACCAGGACGTAGACCATTTATTTTATGAATATAATTATGAATCCAGGACTGCATGCTCACTCTGCAATCAGCATCTGAAGTAAAACCGTTCAACTCAAATCACCGTGAGGCGAGGGCTCGACTCCTCCGACTGACTGCAGCTGAAGCGCTCTCTTCTGGATTTCCTCCAGGATTTATCACACGTGTTTTTGACAGTTGGACATTTTCTTGCCTTAAATAAAAAGTCTTATTTTTAGAACTGGCAACATGAAGTTTCTTAAGATTAACTTCCATGCGAGACTGAAGCATTTCTTTTGTCTCTTTCAGCTGAACGTGAGCCAGTTTGGGTCCAACTCTGTCCTCTACTTCGGCTTGTTCGACGGCTGGGATCCTGATCCGGCTCAGCAGCCTGGATACATCATCATGTCTTCTTTTCTTGTCTTCTACAAGTGACGCAGCTCTGCAAACCCCTTCTTCACGCTGACTGAATGAATGGAACTCGGGACGCACAGCCACACATTCAATTTGTACTTCCCTGCTTCTGTTGTTTTAAATGTTTTAAATTTTTGCTGCTTTATCGTCCTGTGCGCTCACAAGAATTGGAGATATTTTCGTCTTTCTCAAAGGAACTTGCAGCCGAACAGGCGCTCCATAAGATCTTCTTCTTTGTCTCCAGCTGAAATGTTTAGTTTCTGAGAGCCGCCTCTCTTCTGTAATTACATGGAATCACGTCCAATTAGAAACTCTGAGCCGTTTCTCAGTGAGTCATCGTGACACGAGGTAAATCCTCCCAACCTGAAAAGAAGCTCTTTTTATACCCAGTCATGTTGTCAATTGTTCTAATTAGTGTTAATTGGTCTTCCAGCTGTTCGTTATATGCTCAGTTTCCTTTTTCCAGCCACTTATTGCTACTTGTCCCAACTTTTTTGGGATTTGTTGACACTGTGAAATTTTGAATCAACACATTTTTCCTTTAAAATGTTACATTTACTCAGATTAAACTTTTTGATCCGTCATCAAGGCAGCACGGTGGCGCAACTGGTAGAGCTGCTGCCTCTCAGCGAGCAGGTCCCTGGTTCAAACCCCGGTCCGGGGGCCTTTCTGGGTGGAGTTTGCATGTTTTCTCCGTGCTGCGTGGGTTTTCTCCGGGTACTCCAGTTTCCTCCCACAGACCAAAAACATGCATGTTAGACTGATTGGTAACTCTAAATTGTCCCTAGGTGTGAGTGAGAGAGTGAATGGTTGTTTGTCTTGTTTGTCTCTGTGTCCCTGTGATGGACTGGAGACCTGTCCAGGGTGTCCCCCGCCCCTCGCACAGTGATTGCTGGACATGGGCACCAGCGACCCCCGTGACCCAAAATGGAATAAACGGGTAAAGATAATGGATGGATGGATGGATCCGTCATCTATGTTATATTACGAATAAAATATTGACATTTGCCATCTCCACATCATTGCATTCAGTTTTTATTCACAATTTGTTTAGTGTCCCTAGTTTTTTGGGATCCGGTTTGTATTAACCCCTTGACAATCTGCCCTCCTCACCAAATTTTACCTACAAGAATATTCCACCAACATAATCTATGGGATTGTGTCTGTAATGGAACAATCCTTCATGGTAATCTTTCCCAAACAGAATATTTATAATCATTATCCACCCCCACAAAAGTTTTTACCCAACAGATCTTTTTCTTACATGTATTTTCCCCAAACGTAACAGACCACCATGAGATTGTCCCTCTGACGAAATCTTTCTCCCACAGGAATTGTCTCAAGGGAATCTTTTCCGAACTTCATCTACCCCATGGGAATCTTTCCTTAAATCTTTCTACCACAGGAATATTTTCCCACATGAATCTCTCCCTAATCTTTTATTCTTCTAAATATCCTCCTAACGGAATTGTTACCTAACAGAATCTTTTCCCCGTGAGAACCACACCTAAATTTGTACTGTTCATAAAAACACAAGTACCAAGTGATAACAAATGTGTTACCACGGATTTACAACCAGACACGTTGGTGTGGTCGTTTCTGACCGGTAACGCAAAATAAACACACCTGGAGGGTTTACTTTGGTTAGGGTAACAAAGTTTATCAAAAATAACCAACAAAACCTTTTCTTTCCAGCTCTGTTGTTTACAGACAAAAACAGCATTGTCTAACAAGAACTAGCTTCCAGCGGTTTCAGACCTAAACATCCTGAAGTTTTTTTTATTCCCAGGACTGTCTTGGTCACAAAAAGAGGACATTTTATGACACAGTCACGAGAATAAAAAAACGTTTGATGAGTTTTCACTCGTTCAGATGTGTGTTTGTAAGAAAAGGCTCAATAGAACTTGACGCAGGTTTTGAGACACTTCTCCTCGGTCTCAAACTGGTTTTTGTTTCCCAGACAGCCTCCGAACCAGAACTGAGCGCAGGCGTTCGACGTCTCATCGTAGTACCACTTCACCACGTAGTCCCGGCAAGGTCCTGGGTCCAGGATCTGGCTGCAGCCCTCCGCTGGACACGATGATGACAACGAGTTGAGTCACAAAACAAAGAGTCAGGTTTACATTTGTTGAAGTCGCCAAGTCCAAGAAATGGTCTCTCAAATGAAAATTATAATTAAGTCGTCAAAAACTGGACATACCTGATGTGTGGGGGTCTGAGGGCCTCGGTGGTGGAGGTGGTGGAGATGGTGGCCATGGTACTGGCAGCTCTTTCTTAGTCGGGGCCCTCTGTGTGGAACCATCCGGCCCCACGGCTTCAGTCATGTAGAGTTTGTTTATGTCAAACTGTGGGAGGAACTCCGTTACGGGTCTGAAGGGTTCCCTGTCAAAGAACGGGAACCTCTGAGTCTCTGAGGTGGTTCTGTCCTCGTCTGGTTTCGGTCTGTGCGGGTGGACCAGCACCCTGTCCGAGTGGGACGCCGGAGAGCCGGGCTGGGACAAAAAATAAAATAATTTAAAGCCTTTTTGTGCAAATTCAGTTAAACAATAAAAATGTGTTTTTTATTCAAAACTAATAGAAGTTACCAAACATGACTCAGAGCGTTAACCTTTGAGGTCTTCCTGTTTATGATCAACCAGCAGCTTAAATACTTTCTAAAACCTTTAATTTATTTAAGAAACATTTTAAAAAGATGCCAGACAAACTAGATTACAGCTTAAAGGTGTGTGACGTCAGAGGGGTGAAGAATAATAAAGCTAAACGTTGAGACTTTTCCTGCTGCTGGTTAATCCTCCAACATGAATCACTGCCTCGTCGGCGCTGCTCACCTTCGTCTGGACCTTCTCCAGGTCTCCTGTGAAGGTGGGCACGTCTGCGTCCGTCTCGTACGGTTGCGGTTCAAGGACGTTACCGAAGACCTCTGGGATCCCAGGGAGAAGCATGAAACTCGGGATGGGGCCGAATAAATTGTTCCTCCTGTCCTGGAAGATGCAGGTCAGCAGCTTCTTCTCCAGAGCTGCAGAAGCAGAAGATCAGAGCCGTCAACCTGAAGCTCCGCGGTGGTTTGACCTCAGAGCAGCAGTTTAGATAAAGAAGCAGCTTTAGGAGTCTGAAAAGATCAAATTCATCAAGTTTATGTTCATCTGCTGTGAAAAAACTGCAGATTTACTCCCTGATGATGAACATACAGTTTTAAAGGAACTGGGGGAGTTAGAGGACTGGAAAATTATTATTATTATTGTTGTCAAGGGTTTAACTCAAACAGCTGCTTGGAAGGTTTTTAGTGTTTTTATATAAACGAGTTCAGCTTTAAAGGGGCAGTTCAAACAATTACCTGCTGCTGAAAAGCGGGCGATAATGTTTTGACCTTCCTGTGCGAACTCATTTATTCGTCTTGTTTGAGAAACATAACGTACTCTCTGCTACACTCGGAGCTAACTGATCACACAAGAGTCCTTCCTAAGATTCTGCTGTTCGCTACTGCAGTCAACTCCGTCTGTTAGCAAAATATCACGAATGAAGGTTTTACCTAATCCAGTTTTACCAATACTGAGCATGGTGTGGTAGTAGCTGAGAGTCCTTCACAACACACACTGAATGCTAATCAAGAATTCAAGATGGTGCTGGGTGGCATGGCCCGGTGGTAAAGAGGTCAACATCCACGCAGATGGCCTGGGGTTCAATTCCCTGTGTTCTTTGGCAAAAAGTCTCAACAGCACCGCTGCCCCAGATATGCTGCTTGCTGTACGAGTGAGAGATAACCGTTTACATGCTTGAGACTGCATGCATCCATCCATCCGTCCATCCATCCATCATCTTCCTCTTGTTCTGGAGTCAGGTCTCGTGGCAGCATCTTGAGCAGGGAGGTCCAGACATCTCTCTCCACAGCCTCTTCCAGCTCTTCTGGGAGGACTCCAAGGTGCTCCCGGGCCAACCGAGAGAACTAGACCCTCCAGCGTGTCCGGGGCCTCCTCCCAGTCAGACATGCCCGAAGCACCTCCCTAGGGAGGCGCCCAGTAAGTATCCTCACCCGAAGCCCGAACCACCTCTACTGGCTCCTCTCGATGTGGAGGAGCAGCGGTTCTACTCAGAGTCCATCCCAGATAACTGAACTTCTCACCCTGTCCCTAAGGGGCATGACTGTGTGCATGTCTCATTGAAAACCAGGCAACAGTGTTGCCAGGTATACAATAATTACCGTTTTATAAGAATTTTAGGGTCAACCTCCCCTCCTTTTCTTTGTTCACCAGTCTCAACACACATCTCATCTTACAACCTCCTCTTTTGAGGAAGTAATCCTCACTCAGCTTAATGACAGTTTGGGTCAAAGTACAATCATTTTATAGCAACTGTGTAATAGTTTTCCTATCTGGCAACCCTGCCTGTCATGGAAACTATCGCGGATTCAATGACCCCAGTGATTTTAGTGTAAGCGCGTTTTTTTGTTGCTGATTCACCAAAATCAAGATTAAAAAAGCACTGATGTTTCCAGATGTTGTTCCCGTGTAAACAGGGCTGTAGTGTGCTGCTCAGTCCTGCCCCGCCCGGTTTCATTATCTGCAGCTGCAGCCACTCGCCTAATCAGTCCAGATTATGCTTCTGTTTCCTACAGCCGACCAGTTGAGCATGACACATTCTTACACCACGTCCGTTTCTTCTGTCAACTGCTGGGGTTTGTAAGTTTTTCCTTTTTGTTCCAGTCTGCACCCTGGGTCCAAATGTCCTGTCAGTTGTGCACTTCATTTAGGAAGAAATAAAAACACAAGTAATGCATATCACCTGCCACTTTGCACACCAACGTTTGAAACCAAATCTTGTTTTATGATTCAGCTCTCAGAGGACGTGACGGCCTCTCAGCTACAGCCACGCTGAACTTCAGCTCAGTGAACGCCACACTGAAGACTTTCTGCAATGATGCGATCAGGCGATGAGCTGGTCACCTTGCAGGACGTTAAAGTCTGCGACCAGGACCATGTGGTCTCTGTCGGGGTCCGAGGCCATGAAGCTCAGCTCCTTCTTGAAGAGCTCGGAGAGAGGGTCGCTCTCGTTCACCACCCCGATCACAAACATCTCGATTTCGTTTTCTTTAGCTTCTGTCACGGCGCTCTCCAGACTGACCGGGTCCCTCCGATCGGCCTGCCCGTCGGTGATGACGACCACCACCTTCCTCACGCCCGCCCGGGCCGCCCCCAACACCCAGTTGGCCCGTTGGAGGGCGCTGCCGGTGTAGGTCCCCTCGCCCAGGTAGGTCATGGAGCGCACCGCAGACCTGATCTCGTCCTGGCTGGCTTCCTGTTCCAGGCTGACCACCACGGCGTTGATGTGGCTGTAGAGGACCACGGCTACACGCACGGCGTCCCCGCCGACCGACACCCGGTCCACCGCGGCGTTCACAAAGTCTTTGATGACGTTGAAGTTTTCAGGGCCCACGCTCTCAGAGCTGTCAATCACAAACACCAGCTCCAACGGGGTTTGGCTGCACTTCACCCCACAACCTGATGAAGAGGAGCAAAGACGCAGTCAGGAGGAGGAGGACGGTTCATTTGTCATCTTTACGCTGAACACTTACTGCAAATGGACCTGACGATTCTGATGACCTCATCCCTCTGGGAGCAACAACAAAACACATCAGAGTTAAATGTAATCTTCACATGTTCAGGTTATTTCTCTGGGATTAAACACCATCTTCACGCTTCTGTTAATCTGAGAAGGATTTTCAGAAAACAGAAAGTTCAGTTTTTATTTAAGTCCGAGTCTTTTTACTCACCGTGAGTCCCGGTTCTCCCTTCTGTCCAACTCTGCCCTGATATTTGAAACAGAACATAAATCGGCTTTAAAACATTTCAATAAATATAAATTTAAAGTTTGAACTCTCAGCTCATCAACGCGCATAAAAAATCCATGACGTACCGCAGGTCCAGCGTCTCCTGGCTCTCCAGGTGTTCCTCGGTCTCCCTTCTTGCCTTTGTCTCCTCTCAGTCCTCGTTCTCCCTGCAGAAGAAATAAATATACAGTTTTTTTGTTGTTGAAGCTAAAAGCACAAAGAAAGAAACACTTTCTAATGCATCATCTCTGTCGGGTGTTGGTTCTGTCTCTGTTTGTTTCCTCGTGTTTCCAGCCCTCAGTGTTTTCCCTCCTTGTGTTCAGCCCCTGACTCACCTGTGTCTCATGTTAATCACCACAGGTGTCTGTCATTGTCCTAATCAGTGTGTGTCTATTCAGTTCACTGGTGTCTTGTCTTTGTCTCGGGATTGTCTTCATGGTGTTTCTGCCTTCCGTTCCGTGTCCTGTCCACCCGTGAGTACGCTGCCCCGTCAGCTTTTGCTTCGTTTTTGTAAAATAAATACTTTTTGATTTTCCACCAGCCTCCTGTCATCCTCCTGCACTTGGGTTCAACACTCCTGACGGCAGAACGCAACAATCTCTCTGTGTGAATAACTTCGGCTACGGTACCTTGTCGCCCTGCAGACCTTGTCCTGGAGGACCTCTGGGTCCTGGAATCCCCTGAAATCCAGGCTCCCCCTGAGAAGATCCAAACAGACTTTGTGTTAGTTCGACTCCTGACGGAGACGACGAGAGAAACTGAGTCAACGCTCAGAGCTGAGATCAGGATCAAAGTCTAAATCTAAAATCAGCTAAATATAAGCTAATATGAGCCAAAAACAAACAGAGAAGCTTAAACCAGTGAAATCCCAGCTGACAGAAATAATAATAATAATAATTGTCTCACAACTTAAAACAATAAAACAGCAGCTAAAAGCTAAAATTATAAAAACACTGACTCATAGCTAAAACCAGCAAAACAGTAGCTAAAGGGTAAAAGTATCAAAACACAAACTAAAATTTTTAAATTAACAAAATACTGGTAGCTAAAACAGATAAAACACCATCTAAAAGCCAAAACCAGCAGCTAAATGTAGCTAAAAGCTAAAACTAGTAAAGGAGAGTGGTCAAAACCTTAAATTAATAAAACAGTAGCTCAAAGCTAAAATCAACAAAATCTGAGCTAAAAGCTAAAAATAAAGCGAATACACTAAAGTGGATTTTAAAAAGCACCAAGTTTTTTTGTTTTGAAACTTTTCATTTGTTTCAAGGAGGAAAAAATGTAAATAAAATGAAATATTAAGAAAAAATGTATAAAAATCACGCCGAAAGTTACGAACGGCTAAAACAGCTAAATGTTTTATGTACAACTGCAAGTTAAGTTTTGTAAAACTGTAAAATGTAAAAAAAAAGCCTAAACTGTGGGCGGATTAAAGTGAAAACGGGTCACGGGGGACAGCCGAACCTTTTGACCTTGTGATCCTTCTCCAGGTAACCCAGGAGGACCGTGTGGACCCGTGGGACCAACAGAACCCTGCAGGAGCGCACACACAAACATTGTTATTCTCTCAAGGTAAGAATCTTTTAGCACATCTGGTTTTTAAAAAACTACCTTAAGACCAATCAGACCAACTCCTGGTGGCCCAGCAGGTCCAGGTGGTCCAGGTATGCCCCTGTCCCCCTGAAAATAAATAAATAAATAAATAAATGTCTTTCTCAAATATTTTACGACGCACGGTTCAATCAACGTGACAGAGCGAAAACTCACAACAACAAACAAAAAGAGACTGCACAACATTTAAGAGTTAGTTTCTCATGACAGGTGATCATGTAACTGCATGAGAGTCAACGCTGTTCGTCTGTTAGCAAAATATCTCATGAGCCACTGGATAGATTTGAATGAATCCCTCAGAAAATATTTATTAGGCGTAGAATTCCCTATTGACATCAACCTGACTCAAGATGGCCGCCACAGCTACCTCACCCAGCGCAGAAATGACAAACGGTAACATCCGTGTAAGTTGGTGGGTCCTTTTATTCATAAATAAATAAATTGTTTCATTTTAAAATCTATTCTGTTGCATTATGATTGTTGCATGACGGAAATAAAATTAACTTTAAGCATGTTGAAAACTGTCAGCAGCTTCTATTTCACCTCCAAATTAATGAATCACAACATTTTTCTGTAATTTACTGGATTATTTCACTAACATTAATCCTGTGGCCCATACTTTAATAAAACAGTAATCTGCTGTAATCCACTGGATTATTCCAGTAACATTCTGTGGATTTATTCTGTTAATTCACAGTAAAACGCCACAGCGTTCAGTAATTTACCTTTAATTCACGTTTTATTACAGCGTATGACTCGGTCGTGTTTATAACCGACATGGAGCTGACATGTGACGTGGTAGTAGCTGTGAGTCGTCTTTTACACGCACTCTGAGCGCCAACAGCACGACTTTTTGATTTTCTGTCAAACTCTGTTTGTAAAATTTGACCAAGACGACCTGAGAGGATGTGAGTCTGAAGGTTTGGCACGAAGGGCGGCGGGCGACAAGCATTCCCTTCATTTAGACCCGTCCTTCAGTAACATCACCAGAAAATGATATTTTACTGACAACGTGTTACCTTTGGTCCAGGTAAACCGACGCCTTCAGGTCCGATCTCCCCTGGAAGACCAGGAAGTCCTGGAGGCCCCTGAGACAGAAAAGGATGATTTTGTAGAACCAAACATGATCATCAGGAGCACTAATAAAAAAAACAACATAATGAAGTCTGACTCACCTGAGGTCCAGAGAACCCTTCACCTTTCAGTCCAGGTAGTCCAAGAGGTCCTGGTGGTCCTCTGTCGCCCTGCAGACCACACCTGGTTTGTCTTTATTGTCAAAAGTAACGTTCAGTTGATGTGAGCCTGAACTCACCTTGGGTCCAGGTAGACCGAGTCCCGACTCTCCCACAGCTCCAGCAGGACCCGATGGGCCCGGTTCTCCCTGACAAACAAACAGAAATGAATGAAGATCTGTCGGACACACGAGCGCCGTCATTAGTTTGGACCACACACGCTCACTTTGGCACCAGGACTCCCCCTGCCTGGGGGTCCACTGGGTCCTGGCAGTCCAAGTTTTCCTGGTTCCCCCTGAAACACAAGACACTTCAAACTGAGACAGGAGACGCTTCAAACTGAGACAGGAGACGCTTCAAACTGAGACAGAAGACGCTTCATACTGAGACAGGAGATGCTTCATACTGAGACAGGAGACGCTTCAAACTGAGACAGGAGACACTTCGTACTGAGACAGAAGACGCTGCAAAATGAGACAGGAGACGCTTCAAACTGAGACAGGAGACGCTTCATACTGCGACAGAAGACGCTTCATACTGAGACAGAAGACGCTGCAAACTGAGACAGGAGACGCTTCAAACTGAGACAGAAGACGCTGCAAACTGAGACAGGAGACGCTTCAAACTGAGACAGAGGGACATTTAGAGTCAAAGCACCGCCTCAAACGGTGAAATCATCATAAACGTCTTTTTGGGGTAAAATTGAGTAGATTTTGTTTTCTAACATTTAAAATAATCAAATTAGATTAAAGACACTTATTGATAAAAGCTGAATAATTTTCTTGTTTTCTCTGCTCTGTTTTCATGTTTTAACCCTTTAAATAGTCAAACACTTCATGTTTTTCCTTTAACTCCCTCTCTTCTCTCATTATTACACTTTTTCATCCTGTTTTTTTTTTTTAGCTCTGTCCACTTGGATCAATTTTCTGTTTTTGTGTTTTGGTTATTTTTTTTAACTTCTACCAGACATTTTCTGCTCCACATCTGTGACCCAAACCTTTATTCTTGGCGTGTACATGTTTTAGAAGACATTCATGTGCACTTGTCATGAAATCACCTTTGGCCCCGTTGACCCCTCAGGACCGAACGGTCCAGGCTGTCCCCGGCTCCCCCTGTCCCCTTTGTCTCCCTGCCAGAGAAACACAAGTCCTCAGCTCTGCACAAGACGTTTGCATCGTTGCTTTCAAGGACAGAGTCAGATGTTACCTTCTCACCAGGAGCTCCTTTACCCGGAGCCCCCTCAGGCCCTCTGGGCCCCGACGCACCGGTGTCGCCCTGATCATGACAAAGACAAACAAACAAACAAAAAAGAGGACACTCATTTTGAAAACAGGATTCAAAACAGATAAACCATACGCTGATATCCGCTGTCGAGGAGGCGTACAAATACTTAAAGATTTGTAGTTTTGAGTGTTTTTCTGGACTGGAACTGAACAGAGAGTGCAAGTAAACCTAAATGTTTTTGGTTCCAGGTATTTAGGAGGAGTCACAGAGTGAAAAAGAACAAAGGTACGGTTTCTTATTTGCTCGTCTGAGGCGGCGCAGAGAGATTCTGGTGAGCGGAGGGAGTCATTTTATCCACGACCATGTACAAAGACGCAACCAGGGGGTGGCCAATGGTGGCCTTGGTCACCATAGATCAGGGGTGTCAAACTCACTTACAAAAGAGGGCCAAAATTAAAAAGGGCCAATTTCAGAATCTACATGAACTCAAATCAGATACCCAACATCTTTTCTTGGTCACAGGTTCCTCAACAAGAATCTGACTGGTCTCATTCGATGTTCTCTGTTGTGCTTTCAACATCATAATCAAAGATTACTGAAAAAAGTTCAAGGGATAGAAGTATTTTACGTTTCACATACATGACATCTTGGGGGCCAGATAAGATGTCAACGAGGGCCACACTTGGCCCCCGGGCCTTGAGTTTGACACACATGACTGATTAATCTTTGGCCACCCCAGTCATTTGAGCTAACTTTACTTTTAGGCAATATAAAATCTATAAAGTATAGTTTCCTCAAAGGATAGGGGTGGCCGGTTTACACACCGTACATACATACATACATATATATCAATTTAGATATCTAAATATATATATATATATATATATATATATATATATATCAGGTATTAATGTTTCCCCTACCATTATCTAAGGAGGACGTGCCACCCAGTCAACACAACCAAGCGCCTGCCCACCAAACCTAACTTTCTGCATATATTAATATATATGGTAGTAGCCATCTTGGATTTGGACATGGCATCACAATTTTCAAAATAAAAGTTTCTTATGCCTAAATGTAACCACACATCAAAAATTAAGTCCTCACTAATTTTTCAAGTTATTCTGCACATCACAAGAGGGACGGCTGGAGGATAATTCCAGTTTTAATGTTACCTTTTGTCCCGGACTTCCATCCTCCCCTGGTAGACCTGGTACTCCAGCTGAACCCTGAGCTCCAGGGTCTCCCTACAGAAAAAACACACAAAAAAAAACTAGACTGTCTATTTTATTGTACATTTTTAATAAATGCTTGTCAATAAACTGAATGTTTTAGGCATTATAGCTCCACTTTAACACAAACTGTGTCAAGACTGGTATTTTACTGTTGGACTTCCTGTTCGTAGTTTATTTTTGTCCCTTTACCCACCTGCGTTCCCTCGTGCTTCATTCATTCATCTTACACCTGTTCCCTGTTTAATTTGTCACAGCTGCAGCTAATCCGGCCCGTCCAGTTCCCCTGCTCACCTCGCTCATCAGTCTGGTTTCACCCCCCGTGATTCATCTTTACATGAATCTTCAACCTTTGCTTTTGGCTTCTTTAAATAAATCTTTTGGTTTTTATTTGAAGCTCCTCGTGTCCATGATAATCTGGGATTTAATGTCACTCTTCCTCTTTAAAAGTCATGCAACTCCTTGGTATGAATATTTATTTTGGATTTAAACAAATAAAATAGTGCTCACAAAAGTCTCGTTCTCAGCCAGTAAGCAAAATAAATATCCTTTGATTAATTACCAATAATCTCATTTTAATTTAAAGACACAATCATTGCTGACAACTAAAGTTTAACGATGGAAGGTTTATACTCCCGTCTTAATCTGTGAACTTTAGTTTAATTCAATTTTTATTTTAAGATTAAACTTCAAACCAAACTTGAAGCAAAGTCAAATTAGTCACATTAAATGCATTTTAATCCAATTAAATCTAATGAAACCAAATCTGATTTAGTATTTATTATTTATTCCCGTCAGTTCAGCTAAAAGTTTCAAATGTCATCTGAAGTGGTGCCACAGCTGGAGAATTATACAGAAGACTGGACAAAAACTGGTGAATTTTTAGGTTTGACATTTTGTGTAATCTGCTGAGGTTCAGATGAGACGCGTTTCTGGGACTCTGGTTTCTTCTAGTAAAGAAAGTTCTGCACAGTTCGGACAGAAGGAGCTGGAAGGGGACCCGAGAGAAACGTTTCAAGCTGTAAATAAAGAATGCACCACAGACGGTGTTCAAACTGCAGCCGAGCTCGGAGGACTTACTTTGGGTCCTGGCGCTCCCACCCCTCGCTCACCTGGCTGCCCGGGCTCACCTGGGGGGCCCTGGTTCCCCTGAGGACAAAACCAGTCCGTTTGATTTTTCAGCAGAACCGATGAGAATGTTTCCATTATTTGGCTCAGCCACAAAACTACAAAGAAAAGTCCAGTTAAAACACTAAACTTTGGTGACTTTTCTAAAAAAAATAAATAGATAAATGATAAAACAAATATTCCTAGATTTAACAAGTGCATGTGAATGCTTTTATTTTGTTTTGTAGATACTTAAAACTTGGGTCGTGAGATTTTAAGCAAATAAGCTGAAATTTGAAAAATGCTTTTTTAAGCATATATAAAAATGTAAACCCCATAAAACAAACCTTAAAGGAAAAACTGAAATCAAACATAAAATAATTTATTCTGGATTATTTCGAACATCGCCAACTGAAACCGCGCACTCCGGTAGTTTTCCAAATGAGTAGATGTGCAGTTCTGAAATGTGGGTCTGCGCTCGACATCAACAAAAACCGAATCTTCCAAAAACCACGAAGTTTGAGTCGCGTTAAGAAACGTGATGGAATCAGACGAGCGTCGGCTCTCAGAGAAGACGTTTGGGTGGAAATATGAGAATAAATCTGCAGCTAAACACGACAGAAGAGAGACGAAGGTCAAGATTAAAAATCAGACTGCGGTAACTACTACTTTCTAAGCAGCAAGCTAAAATGATCAAAACAATAGCTAAAAGTTAAAACTAGAAAAATGCTAGCTAAAAGATGCAACAGGATTGCTAAAGGTAATAGCACTCTAGCTAGAAGCTAAATGGAAAAGCAAAATGCTAGCAAACAAGTAGTTTTGCAAAAGGGTAGCTAACAATGCTAACTAAAAGCTAAAAGTATGAAAACTGTTTGCTAGAAGCAAAAGAGCATGAAAAGGCCAACAAAAAACAAAAGTAGCAAAAGCTAAAACCAGCAAGAGGTTAGGTACCAGTGTCAAAGGTCTAATAAAAGGCTAGCTAAAAGCTAAAAGTAGAATTAAGAGACAAAAGTAGAAGCAGATTGATGAAGCAGATTTCAAAGAGGACAATGTTTTTATTAAAGAGGTCTGAATTTATTTCTGTGGAGAAAATATTGAAACATAAAGTTCAAATGTCAGGTTCAAGCAGTCACTTCGGCTGTTTCTGCAGGTAAACGAACGTGTGGAAGCCGGCATCCAGTCACGATCTCTGCTAACACGGTTTGAATTTAAGGACTCAATGATCATCAATATGAGAAGAATGTTGTGTGGATTACATCTCAAACTTCACGAGAAGCTTCAACTCGACATGAACCAAGCACAAAACTTAACAGCCGAAGCTTCTCCTCGATGAAGCGTGGTTTAGACACAGTCAGACAGATAAATGAATCCAACTTTAAAAACCTCCCGCTGACGATGAACTCCTGCACTCGCTTACCTTCGATCCTGGTACTCCAACACCTGGAGCTCCTCTTGGTCCTGCAGGTCCAACTGGGCCCTGGTCTCCCTGAGGGGCAGAAGAAGTTACCAACACATGAAACAAATCCAGCTTGGCGTTCCTGGTTCCGTTTCTTCAGCTTCAGCTCTGGTTTTAGCTTCAACGTGTCAACAAGCAGCTGTTAACTGGCAGCATCACGACGAACTCAGAGACAAAATATCACGTTTGCACAGATTAGAAGTTTTGTTTGTACATTTCAGAGAAAAATCCAGTTTGCACCTTTTCACCTTGAAGCCCAAACCCAGGAGCACCAACCGGACCTTGAAGCCCTGGTGGTCCATGATTACCCTACAAACAAAGAACGCATCATGTTGGAGAGTCTGTACTCAGTTTTACTTTAACTCACAATAAGTTTATAGCTTTTTCACCTTGTCACCTTTGACCCCAACCCCAGGAGGCCCACGGTTTCCTCGTGGACCTTCAAACCCTCGATCCCCCTGAAACAAACGTGACAGACATCCTCCAACTTTATGTCACGTCTCCTAAAATGAACAATTGCTTTTTGATGCTACTGAATCATTAAATCAGTTTTTTTGCATCACTGATCTACAAAAAGTAATAAAAATGTTACTGAATCAGAAAACTTTTACGCTAACTAACAATGAAATGTTATTTTTTCAAGGGAGTATTGTACTGTAGATGTTTTGGCTCATTGTGTGAAGATGGTACTCACTTTTGGTCCTGGAAACCCATCTCCAGGCGGTCCAGGGTTTCCTTGTAATCCGAGTGGTCCTGGTATTCCCTAGAAGAGACACAGTTTATATTTACCGTATTTTCCAGCGTATAAGTTGCAGGTTTTTTGGTTCGTAGATCTGTCAGTCCTGCAACTTGTATACGTTATATATACTTATATACTGCGAAGCGACTTATATACATATTTTTTTCCATATTCATAACGTAATTTTTAACTGACACTTAAAATTTCTAAGAACTGCAACAGCGAGTCCTCCCGTGCGTGCACTCTTTACTCAGCTGGTGCAGGCGGAGGAACGCTGGAGAGCTAGCTGCTCCGGCTGTGATGGATGGAAGGTAAAATGAAGCTGTTTTGACCATTAAATAAATGCATAATAAATGCGACTTATACGCCGAAACCACTTATATGTTTTTTCCTCTTCGTGATGCTTGTTTAAATTGGTGCGATTTATACTCTGGAGTGACTTAATGCCAGAAAATACAGTAGTTGTGTGTATAAGTGCTCATGTGAGCTCATAAAAAAGGAATGAAAACGGTCCAGGAGGCTGTTTAAACTTGTACAAAAATACACCACCATGAAAAGGTAATGCTGGCGTGGAGAAACAGCAGAGGAGGAAAAGTTCTGAGTTTAAACTTCCACAAAATGTTGGAGTCAGTTGGCCACGAGCGTTAAAATCCTAAATCCCTGATATTTGATTTGTGTTATCTGTTGCTGTAAAACAGACTCAAACGGATGCGAACTGTCCAAGACCTGAACAAACCCAAAGCTGGAACATACAAACTCACAGGTAGTCCTGGTTCTCCAGTCTGAGCAGGACCTGAAGGTCCGGGTCTCCCCTGAAGGCCCTTTTCACCCTGTGAACATCCAACAGCTTCACCTTCATCATACGATCAGTAAATAATTACATTTTCCACTTTAAACGTGTTCGTGAATGAACCATTGAAATTTGATTTTACAACATAAATTCTAAACAAATGTTTGATGTGCAGAAGTGAAAGTGAAATTATATTTGACTGGGATTATAGAAAAGATGCTGGTAAAAATGATAACGCAAAGAAATCACTTTAGTTCCTGGAAATCCAATCCTGAAGTCTCCTGGGGGTCCAGGCACCCCGATGGGCCCCCGGTCTCCCTGTGAAAAACAGAGTTCAGAGGTTTTTTTGGGCAAAATGTGAAAAATAATCACAAAATCAGATGAAGCAGCTCCTCCAAATCCTTTTAAAACCTGAATTTTATATTGATGAACCTGATTCTTCGTGGATTTAACCAACGGTTTATTCTAGAAAATGTTTTAGGAAGATTTCCTGCACTGATTCTCTGGTTCTTGTGCAAAATCATTTTACATCTACAACTTCTATAACTTACACAAGTTAAATTCAAACAATTAATCCTGCGATCTTGTGCAAATATGACTAAAATTCTAAGTGTTTTGAAACATTTATGAGACCTACTTTGGATCCCAGTGGCCCCTCAGGACCCGGGTCTCCTGCTGGTCCTGTTACACCCTGCAAAGCAAAATAACAACCCTCAGCACAAAACTCAAATCTTTAGTTTCAGGAGCAACATTTTATTATCTGGTCATTCTCCACAACAAAGAGTGACTTTCTGCTTCACGTGGAAAAATATTTCATTCAAAAGTAACATTTATAGACAACAAAAAAAGTATTTATGTAAAAAATAAAATAAAAATCACAGAGTGAGCTGGGAGCTGAAACAGTGTTATTAAAGACAAATAAGCAGCTGCTTAAAAGATAAAAGTCTTAACTGGAGTTACTGGGAGAGATCATATCTCTCCAGTTTTAGCTTCTCTCCATTGGTTCCCTGTCAAATCCAGAATAGAATTCAAAATCTTCTAACCTACAAAGCGCTCAACAACCTAGCTCCATCTTATATTACAGATCTTATTGTTCCATATTTTCCTAACAGAGCACTTCACTCTCAGACTGCAGGTTTACTTGTGGTTCCTAGAGTTTCCAGCAGCAGAATGGGAGGAAGATCTTCCAGTTCTCAGGCTCCTCTCTTGTGGAACCAACTTCCAGTTTCTGTCCGTGAGGCTGACACATTGTCCAGTTTTAAGACTGGGATTAAGACTTTCCTTTTTGATAAATCCTATAGTTAGGGTCGGCTTGTTATGCTGCTATAGACTTAGACTACTAGAGGACAAACTGACCTCATTTCCTTGAATAAATTGTTAAAATTGAATAGTTTTCATTTGATACTATTTCTATCTTAACATGTGATTCTTGACCTGCCATTGTGTATCTATTCCTACCAAACCCGGCCGGTTGAAGCAGATGGTCCTCTTGTCCTGAGCTGGTTCTGCTAAAGGTTTCTTCCTCACGAGGGAGTTTTTCTTTCCACTGTCGCCTTCATGCTTGCTTAAGATGAGAGTTCAGTGATGGAGTTAAACTCAAAGCTGCTCCTCAGATAAATAATGTTAATTATTATTTTATACATGAATGTTTCTGTTAATTATTATTTTATACATGAATGTTTCTGTTCAGTGCCTGAGACGACTTCTGTTGTGACTTGGAGCTTTAGAAATAAACTGAATTGAATTGAAAAGTAGCAAAACACTGAAAAAAGTAGTAAAAGGCAAGAGGTGTAGCTAAAAATGCTAACTAAAAGTATCAAGTGCTAACTAGTAGCAAGATGCTGACTAAAGGTATCAAAAGGCTAACTAGAAGCAAAAAGCAAATAGCAAAATGTCCAAAAATAAAAAAATTAAGTAGCAAAAGGTTAGGTAGGCTACCCATATGAAAGGGCTAGCTTAAGTATAAAAATGTGAGCTAGAAGCTAAAAGTAGCAAAAAGTTAGCTAAAAGTAAAAAATGTCAAAAGTTTGCTAAAAGTATCATAACTACATAAAACCTAAAAGCATCTAAATGTGGCTTAAAGTAGCTAAACCTAGCTAAAAGCTATAAAATAAGTGAGCGCTAACTAAAATGAGCATTTCTTCTTCTTTCGGCTGCTCCCTTCCTCAGGGGTCGCCACAGCGAACTAACTCGCACGAAGGCTTGGTGATTGTTTTTACGCCGGATGTTCTTCCTGACTCCACCACAGATACCGAGCTACCACCGCCTCTGAGTGGAGCAGAGAGCTGCATCTAGGGCGCCCAGGGGAGCAGGTGGTGGGGGTTAAGGGCCTTGCTCAAGGGCCCACAGTGGAGCAGATGAGCGTGGAGGCAGGTGTGGGTGTTTCACCTTTTCCACCCACATTTGATGTCATCGCTCTGGGGAGTCGAACCGGCGCAGGTCCGCCTCCTCTAACCTCTGCACCACCACTCCCCATTAAACTAAAAATAGCATAAGAAGTCAAAAATAGAGGCAGTTTGCTGAAACAGATTTCAACAAGAACAATGTTTTTTGCAACATTCGAAAAGATCTGAATTTATTTATTTGGGGAAAATATTGAAGCATAAAGCTGAACGTTTAAAAAAATGATAAAAGTAACAAAACCCAGAACTCCTCTCCCGAATGAGCTGAACAGTTAAAACTAGCGAAAAGATGCTGAAGCATTTCTATTACAACACAAGAGAATAAAGAAAAGTGTGATGTGACTGCATCAGGTCTGAAGCAGGTCAGAAGACCAAGGCTGAGCAGGTTTAACATCAGCGAGAGACGCTTTCATCCCACCGGACAGAAGAACCCGGCTGGACCGACGGTGCCACAGGACAGGAGGAATGATGAGCAGGTTCTAATCCCACCACACAAAGTCTGTTTCTGCTAAAGAATAATATCCTGCAAGCCTGGATTCACAGCTTTGGAGTCAGGATTACCCATAATCCAATATTCACATTCCATTAGTGCAGAGCTGAGAAACACTTCATCTTTCACAGTGAACAGAGGCGAGGCTGGCTGCGAGGCTGGCTGCGAGGCTGGCTGTGAGGCTGGC